GCATAACGCCAACAAATATGCGGGAGCCCGTACGTTCCTCAAGTTAGGACTTGCTTCGGAAAAAATTAGGCCTCAGCACCTAATAAGAATCGGACAAGTCGTTGAACTTGCTTGTGTCTCACAAGATCAAACGCGTTGCAATAAGAACACTCAAGGCCGACCGGGGCAGCGTGGCAGAGGACAAAGTGTGTTCCACCGTCATATTGGGCAGAATCGGCTACCTGTGCAGACGTACGTGCACAGGTGTCCTGGCAATATATAGTGGCCGAACTGTCTTACATGAGACTCGAATACGTTCAGAAAACCAAAAGCTTACAGAAGGATCGCCAAATTTATGTTCCATTTGAAACCAACCCCAACAAAAACCTGACAGGCGAGTGCAATAACGCCGTCTAATCGACGCATGGTGATATAGCAAATATCGGCCTGGGCCCGTTTCTATGGCCTCCCTAAGGTGCACAAATGTGGCCCTTCTCTCTGCCCAATCGTATGACTGAATAATACTCCAACGTACGGACTGGAAAAGTGGCTGTTTATGCGTCTCAAATTTATGACCGCTGACTTGGAGACCAGGTTCCGTTTATCAATACAACTCCTGGAGAAACTTAGCGATGTAAGTCTCCTGTCAATAACGTCATGGTTTCCTTTGATGTCACACCACTTTAAGTCCTTTGTCTCAGGATCTGGCAGTCGAGAACGTTGAACTCCGCCTACGAAGCAAATACGCAAAGATGGGGAATCTTATCGGCCATAACGTAGTTCTACAGTTCATGAAGTCCTATATTATGACATACTTTACATTTGGTGGAACAATCCACGAGCTGGTGAAGGAAACGCCAATGTGTTCACAAATTTCGTAACTTATAGCCAAGGTGGTCATACAAAGGTTAAAGTCGCTGGTCTTCCAAAAAAACAGACTGATTATCTGGGCGCCATATGTGAATGATAGTGTCATCGTCATCGAATGAGATCAGGTGGTCATGTTCAAAAAACGCCCCATCAGCGCATTTTCGCACATACAATTTACGGTGGAGGAGGAATAGAACAACAACTTGAATTCCCTTAATGTTCAGAAGAAGAAGAAGAAGAAGAAGAAGAAGAAGAAGAAGCGATCACTGGAACACGAGGTTTATTGTCCTGACGTTTCGGATTCCCTCGGTAATCCTTAATCATAGGTAAGACTTATTGACCTGACGTTTCGGATTCCGTCGGGAATCCTTAGTAATAGGTAATGGTAAACAAGACTGAGACATACCTCGTCCTTCGCAAAGATTGTGGTGGCATAAGAACAAGTATTAAGGAAAGCTATAAGTACTGAATTTCAACAGCATCAACATTATCAGCCACAAACCTGGTGAAATATGACGTGAGGATTGCTCGGCTATGTGGTTCCCGGTGTTGGCGTTGGATGACGTCCTCGCCTGTGCGTTCCCCAAATGGCGACTTGCTTTGGACAAACCGAGCCTCAGCACTGAATATTAATTGGGCAGGTCGCTGCTTTTGCTTATGGATTGGGAGCCCGTAAACACTAACTCGGGTAATTCTCGACTCACACGATTGCCATCTCTTGCGTGAATTTCAGCCTTATAAAATTTGAATGCGTAGCCCAGTCGAGTCGAATGAACCGCAACTTGAGAGTTGGCATCATTTCGCCGCACTGTTGCCGCGTGTTCAGCAATTCGCGTCTAAAGAAATCTTCCAGTTTCTCCGAAGTAGTTGCTTTTTCCGCAAATGCACCAGATTCTATAGACAACTCCAGCTGTTTCTTGCCATGGTAGGGAGCCTTATGCCTGCCTCCGGCCTGTGGACGAATCCAACTCCAAATGATGCGAGAAGTCCAAACTCATTGCCGAATAAAGAGGACCTGGAGTTTTCACACGACACTGTCAGGGCCGAATTACTCCATCTTAAGCCCGCCAAATCACCTGGGCGGGATAAAGTTCTTACACTAGCACTAAGAGAATTTGCTAACGAACCGTGCAAACCTCTGGTTGCCATCTTCCAGAGGTCTTTTGAAGAACGCGAACTCCCGGAAGAATGGAAGTATGCAAACGTCACCCCGATCTATAAGGGAGGTTCATGACTTGATTACACAAATTACCATCCTGTTAGTCTAACTTGCATCGCGAGCAAAATAATGGAGGGCATTATCAAGAAGCATTTAATGGAATTCCTGGAAAGCAACAAAATATTATGTGATGGACAGCACGGCTTTTGTCCAGGACGCTCTTGCCTCACGAGTGCTCTTTACTCACAGGAGATTTGGACAAAGGCCACAGATAAGAGCTATCCAATAGATGTCATATTTTTCGACTTAAAGAAGGCCTTCGATAGTGTACCACACGGGCTTCTTCTATAGAAGATTTGGGACGTGGGGGCTCAAGGAAAGATGTATAAATGGATCAGCAGTTTCTTGTCCCTCAGAGAACAGAGGGTCGTTGGAAACTCAACCTCGGAATGGACAAAGGTCGAGAGCGGTGTACCACAAGGCTCACTTTTGGGGCCGTTACTCTTCCTGATCTACGTAAACGATTGTCTCAATGACCTTGATTGCGCAGCTGTCATGTCTGCAGATGACATGAAAATATGGGCTGAAATTAGCTGCGCCGACGACGCAAAGAGGTTACAGTCGAACATCG